CTTTCGCTTCCCTTCTTTCCTCAGCTATTTGTAAAGCTTCCTCAGACAGCCATTTTGCTTTCTTGCATTTCTTTTTCTTGGGATGGTTTTAGTTGCTTCCTCTTGTACAATGTTGCGAACCTCCATCCATAGTTCTTCAGGCACTCTGTCTATCAGATCTAATTCCTTAAATCTATTAGTCACCTCTACTGTATATTCATCAGGGATATGATTTAGGTCATATCTGAGTGGCCTAGTGCTTTTCCGTAATTTCTTCAACTTAAGCCTAAATTTTGCAACCAGAAGCTCATGATCTGAGCCACAGTCAGCTCCTGGTCTAGTTTTTACTGACTGTATAGAGCTTCTCCATCTTTGGCTGCAGAGCACATAGTCAGTCTGATTTCTGTGTTGACCATCTGGTGATGTCCATGTGTAGAGTCGTCTCTTGGGTTGTTGGAAAAGAGTGTTTGCTATGACCATCGTATTCTCTGGACAAAATTCTACCAGCCTGTGCCCTGCTTCATTTTGTACTCCAAGGCCAAACTTGCCTATTATTCTGACTATCCTTTGGCTTCTTACTTTAGCATTCCAATCCCCCATGATGATAAGGACATCATTTTTTGGAGTTAATTCTAGAAGGTGTTGTAGGCCTTCATAGAACTGGTTAACTTCAGCCTCTTCAGCACCAGTGACTGGGGCATAGACTTGGACTATTGTGATGTTGAATGTTTTGCCTTGGATTCGAACTGAGATCATTCTGTCATTTTGGAGATTGTATCCCAGTACTGCTTTTCCTACTCTTTATCGACTATGAAGGCTACTCCATTTCTTCTGAGGGATTCTTGCCTGCAGTAGTATACCTGATGGTCATCTGAATTAAATTCACCCATTCCTGTCCATTTTAGTTCACTGATTCCTAAGATGTCGATGTTCAGTCTTGTCATCTCTTGTTTGACCACATCCAGCTTGCCTTGATTCATGGATCTTACATTCCATGTTCCTATGGAGTATAGATCTTTGCAGCACTGGACTCTCCTTTCACCACCAGATACATCAGCAACTGAGTGTCCTTTCGGCTTTAACCCAGTTGCTTCATTCTTTCTGGCGCTACTAGTACTAGTTCTCTGCTCTTTCCCAGTAGCATATTGGACACCTTCCGACCTGAGGGGCTTATCTTCCGGCATCATATCTTTTTGCCTTTTGGTACTGTCCATGGGGTTTTCATGGCAAAGATACTGGAGTGGGTTGCCATTTCCTTCTCCAGTGGATCACGTTTTGTCAGAGCTCTCTGCTATGACCTGTCCATCTTGGGTGGCCCTGCACGGCATAGCTCATAGCTTCATTAAGCTACGCAAGTCCCTTCGCCACGACAAGGCAGTGATCCATGAAGGAGGACCCATGAAGGAGGACCCAGCAGTATAGAAATAAAATAATAATAAATAAATGCAATCTCTTATGGTTTATGTTTTTAGTAGGAATTTTCTTACTTTCAAAGTCATACTTGTAGAATTGCAAGTGGAATGATTCCTATTTTATCGTTACTCAGGTTCACAAAAGTGAGATAATATCAAATTTTTATTTTTGAATGGAATTGTTTGTTTACCTGACATTTATTTATCATATTTAGATCTCACTTTTTTCCTTTTCAAGGAGCTCAAAGTGGATTATGTAATTCTCCTCTTCTCAATCTTATCCTCACAACAACAACCCTGTGAGGTAGGCTGGGCTGAGAGTCAGTGACTGGCCAAAAGTCACCCCGTGAGCTCTGTGTCTGTGGGGAGTAGAACCCACATCTCCTGAGTCCAGCCCAGCACTCTACACCACACTGGCTCTCATGTTGACATTAAGAGGGAAAATAACATGTTTTCAATCTTCTTTGAACTTTTTGTATGGGGAAAATAAATCCCTTTTGAGCAATGTGTAATAAACTACTTCGTTGTTCTTAAGTATGCTATAGGATTTCTATAAGCGCTGCAAGTACAGAATTCTTCAACCAGTTGCTATGGCGGCTGATTGTGTAAATCCCCCCTCTGTGAAGTCACTGCATCACGTCATGTAATATAAACAGGGATTGCTGGAGAAAAGAGTCAGCTTCTGCATGTTTTCAAGGATGTGGGACAATTTAAATATCGCTTGAAGTTATATTACCTGAACTGAATAATTAGATATTATTTCAGTTTTGTTAAAATGAATTCGTTTTGCTCAAATTGATACCAGATTGTTAACGACCTGTTTATAATAATTGCTGTGATTCGTAACAATGCTTCTAATGTGTGATAAAAGTATCAAATAATTTACTTCACTGTATTTTATTGTATTGGCAGTAGTGACTCTACCTGAATAAATCTGATTTTATTTGAATAAAAACGTTTTAGTATAACAGGCAATGGCATATACCCTCCAAATATGTAGGGAGATTGAAATTACATGTTGGTATGACTTGGGTCAAAGGCATTACTCATTTATATTCTGATTTTCTGCCAAACAGATGAATCACCAGATGGGTGGGCACCTTGACTGGGAAATGGCAAGCAGAGGTCCGCTATGGGCACGACTCTGTTATGTGGGCAAAGAGTTCTACCTTTTATGCAGACCAAGACTGTGATCTAAATAAAGGGAATTAAAGTCTATTCTGTAGGCTTTTTCTGGATGTAGATGTGTAGATGAATGACTGAAATATCTCATATGAATAATTATATAACTACTTGCAAACCTACCAGAGTTTCTCTGCTTAAATAAAGAACTCCTGGGTAAAATAACCCCAAAATGAAAAGGACAGAGCAGCAAGCACATAGAAAGCCTTGCAACACTGCATAGTTGCTAAGCTTTGTTTTTTTCTTGATTTTTTGCAGAAAATGTCCAAACATGTAGATGATAAATGTGCTCCATGGGATATATCCATCTAACATTGCTAACACTCCGGAAGGTAAGGAAAGCTACATCATACCGTGTCTGTTTTTAATAATGTGGCTATTTTCATGCACTGTTTGACTTTAAACACTTGCAAAGTCAGTGTTGAAATCTTATAATTCCAAACGCAAGATATTGGCATACAGTGGTCTTTCCCTCAGGGCTTTCTAGACATCTGTGGCTAGAATTCACTTACCAGATCCACATGATCACCATAGACCATCATGATCTATGTAAGCAACAATAGTTTGTGGTTTGGTGGTGCAGTTTTGAAGATTTATCCCCACTGGGGAGTTGTCATGATTTTTTGTATTTTCTGAACCTGGGTGGGAGGGGTGCTTGAGGGTTAAGCAACCCTCAGAGAACCCATGGTCTCCTGTAGGGCAGAATATGCAAAGTGGCTGCTGGTATGCACCACAACCTCTGCAATTTAAACATGCTGCTGTGATCAGGTGAACTGGCCCAGGGTGTACCATATTGTAAACGCAGAGCATATTGAAATGCACACAGGGAGCTAGCTAATTGTTCCTTCCAGTGGCACTGAATTTGGTGCAAGGGGTTTCTACTCCAAATCTAGTAGGTTTTTGTTGGACTGTTAGGGACTGTAACTGGAATGGCTAAGCTGAAAAAAAACACATTGTGTACAGGATGCTATGCACATTTCCTTGCATTCTGGCCAGTGAGTGAGTACTTCTTTGAAAAACAAACAAACAGAAATAATTTTGATTAGAAATTATTTTCCTGCAGAAAATTACGCAGTTGCTTTATTTAGATACTGTGGTTTAAATTATAATACAAATTATTTAGTTATTCTTTTTCAAAGATAGGTAGCTAGTCTTGTTCTGTAAGTTTCTAATATATTATGCAGACTAAAGATTTTCATACAGTTGAGTCCACCCTTGTACACAACTAACTTAAGGGATATGAAGGAGTCCTATACTAAGAACTTATATAATTTACTTTTGAAATATCACTCCTGGCTGTTTTAAATAGTACTCCTTGATAAAGCTAATGCAGGTTGCACAAACAATGATAATGAACAGGAAACAGGAATAAGAAGTGGGGTTTTTGACAAGACTAATCAGAGTTTTTCACAGAGATCTATACATATAGATATTCCCATGTCCCTATCAGCCCTGAAGAGCCCTGTGAAAAACCCCATTTTAAAAGGAAGCCTGAGTTTTGACAGCTGTTGGAGTTCTGTGCTCCTTTATATGGGGTGGATTGCACTTTCCCATCCTCCCAAGCAACAAGTCTCAAGAGAGTGTAGAAAAGGTTTAGGACACTGAGGAGACTCCGTTCCAGCCCCCAGAATTAAATAAATACCCACCCCAAAGTAGAGGATCTATTTTGTGAGTAATGATCAGTCACAGTTTTGCTTTCCCTTGGGAGGGGAAAGCAAGGTAAAACAAAAACCAAAAAAACCTTCTTTGTATCCTCTATCAGTCAGATTCATGGTGGGTTCCTGCAGCACTTGTATGAACATGGTTATACTTTAAAATACAAAAATCAAATTCTAGAAAACAATTTTGGGGGAAAAAACAAAATAGGTGGTAAATCTGCAATGGCCACAACCATGTGCTGCTTGAACCACATCCATGAGAAGATACGTTCCCTGTCTATCAATTTTGAGATCACTTTTTGCAGACTTTGGAGGAAAAAAAACAGGGTGGAAAGGAGCTGCAGCTGTCCAAAAAAAGGGGGGCTAACTATCATGGCAGGGAAAAGGTGAGTTAGTTCAGCTGTGAAGTCTCTTGGGATACTTGCTGGATGACTTGCTGGAGCAAGAAGAGGGGAGTGGGAAGCCATGGTGAGGCAAGTTGTCAGGAACACCGTGGGGGTTGTTCAACTGTTCCTTCTTGTCAGGGTTGGGTACAGTGCAGCTGTCCAATAAGGGGGGCTTGCACAGAAAAGGGTGGGGGATTAATTCCTGAAGACCCTGTTGCATGAATAGTAGCTTGCGGTGATGAGCGGCTATTAATTTTGTCTTTATGTTCCACTTGTTTGGCTCAATAACCATTCTTTCTACAGGTGAAGTCAGTGGTTGAGGCTCTATCAGTTTGATGTGGAAGAGGGCTACCCAAAATAAGGTATTAGCTTCTATATACTTGGAGGATGCTCTAGCAGGCAGAAGTACATAAACTTATGAATGGAAAGAAATAACTTTTTAAAAATGTATGGTTTTAAAATGTATGACTTCAATCTGTTCAATAACCGGCATTCTTTGGATTGGTTATAAACAATTAAAAGACCAAAATATCATTGAAACAGTTAAAATACAAAATGCAGTACAAATATTTAAAAGGATTCAGTGCAGTGTACCATAATACAAATAAGAGGAATAGATAATAGATCACGATCTAGGAACTTTATTTTCCAAACCATCTTTGGAGGTAGCCCTACGTACAACACATTGCAATAATGCAAACTTTCTGTGATGAGAATCTATAAGACTTTTAGAATATTGATAGAAATATTCTATAGAATATAGTATAGAAATTGGGGCAGTATAGAAATTGGATTATTATAAATAATGATAGCTGAACCTACAGAGAAACTGTGGGGTGAAGGAGGGGTTGGAAGTCAGGCAGACTCAAAGCTATAATTGAGAGCAGTTTGGCACAGATTGTTTGTGGATCATTTGTAAAGACCCGTTCCTCATCCTGGACAGCAAAGCAGAAAGAGGCAATTGACCTACCAAAGCCCCATCCACGTTATATCCTGGAGAGAGGGCTGAAATATAACCAAGGACCAATGTTATGTGAATAAGTAAAAGAATCAGATTGATGATGGAAGCACAGCTAAACTTCTGTTTAAAGTTTTGAAAGTCAGTTTTATAAGTTTTATGGACTGGTGACTCAATTCTTGTTTTGTTTCACTTCTGCACTATGCTGTATTTTATACAAGCTACACGGGATGTTTTATTTATAGATAGAAATTGATTTTGAGGAGGTTTCAGTCCTTCCATGTTGTGTTTATATTGATCTAATAATAAAAAAAGGGTTGGATGCCGACGTGCTTCAGCAAAAATCTTGGCACATTTCATTTTGATGGTATTGTGTGTTGTTTCTATACAAGTATGCATGGTGAACTTGATACATTGTACTCAGTGTTGCCAATAAAATTGTAGTCTCCATTTCTACCTCATTAGATATTTACTTTCTGTTTACTTCAGCCTTATGTGTGCTTTAGTTTCTGCTTTATTTCTAGACTTACCTATATTGGGTTTTGTTTGGTTTTGCTCTTGTTATCAAATTATATTGTTGTTAATAACCCAGGGAACTTTGGCTGTCGGGCATACTGCTGCCAATAATAATAGGAGGAGGAGGAGTATCTACTGCTAACTTTGAGTGCAAAATATGGGAAATAACTTAATTGTAAAACAGGTCTGTATATATATGCGTGGATATAACTTCAAATAGCAAAATTAAGACTTGGTGGCAAAATCAGAAAACAGCTTGACAGCTATTATTTCTATATTTTTAGAAAACAGCCTTCATCTTAGCATGATGTCATGAAGGTTGCCAGAGCTGAGCCATTGTTATAGCTATAGAAGTTACTAAACAGGTATGGAAGAAATCCCATGAAATAGCTAGCATCTTATACAGTTTCCTTAGCAGAATATAGTGCTATTACTATAATAAAGCAATAGGGAAGCAGTTCAATTTTTCTGTCAGGTTAGGGCCAGATGCATTGAAGATGCATGACATGTATTTTTATATTTCCTTTCTTTAACATGCAGGGGGATCTGAATGTGATCAGAAGAGTGGTTGTGTGTGTGAGTGCATGTGCTTAAGCATGCCCTTCATCCCACTGCCAGTCCTGTAATCCAGTTCAGGACTTTCCATTCCCAGTAGCGGCATTACAAGGGGGTGGAGGAGGACTGGAAGGGTGGACATTGAACCCTTCAGATGTCCCCTACACCATCTCTAGTTTGATCATCAATACTCTGGCTTCCTAAGAAGAGAAACATTTTTGGGCTATACCTCACAATTAGGCACTGGGGTTGAAGGGAGCAGAAAATCTAAACATCTGGAAGGTGTCTGGGTGGGGTAACTTTCTCTAGACAAAAAGCTGTTTATATCCCACTGACATAATTGTGATACAAACTGCCTAACAGTGAATATTCATACTCTCTTTTGCAGAGAGAGAGACCAGGAAATCCAAGTGTAGGTGTCATCAGCATGTGGAAATAGAAATGACAGCTGTATTGGCCATTCTAAAACCAATATCAGGGTAATTCTTTCATTAGGCAAACTCAAAGTTCACAAAAATGTACAAGCTTCTGCAATTGCGCCAATATAGATTTTGAAATCAATATGCAGATGACCCCAGGATCTCTCTCTCATTTCTGCCTTCTAAACCTGGAAGACTATAAAAGCTGTAAGCAGCTGTTTGATTAGATAAGGACAGGCAAGCAGGCTTTATATGGAGAAGACACGTGCAATGAGATGGCCTGCTCTTTGCAGAGTTGTTCCTCTCATAGATTCACATTTCAGGAGTGCTAGAGCCAAGCATATTTCTGGATGGCTGGTGCCAGCAGAGCTCTCTGCCAACTTCATATTATGGCTGTCAGCTTCATCTTGTATGTAAATTCATCCAACATGAGCAGATAAGATGGAACAGTGGAGACCTGTCTTAAAGGACTAACCCTAACCTGCAAATTCATTGCAGCAGGCCGCTGCGACTTTACTAGGGTCCACCCTAGAGCCAGATTACAGTGGGCCATGAACCACCCAAAATCATTCCATTGGACAACTCAGTGAAGATGCAATGCCGGCAGAAAAGAATTTCCATAACATAGTCTTTATAATGAGCTCTTACTTGTGTTCAGTCGGATTTGGCACGGGTTTTTCTCCACCAGCACTCTAACCACCTCCCAGCTTGCTTCATTGCTCTCCGGTCAGGAGTGTATCAAGATGCTCCACAATCTCTTCAAGTTGGGAGATACATGTTTATGGTTCTTCCCAATTTGACTTACGTAATGTTCTTTGAGTTCTCCCAGACATTTGACTGGAGCCAGTTGATCAGAAAAGGAGTTTCTGATCAAACAGAAGAGAGTCCTGCTGGATCATATAAATGGTCCATGTCATCCAGAGTTCTGTTTATGCAGTAATCAACCAGCTGCCTGTGGGGAAACCCTTAAATGGGGTATGAGTGCAATAGTATCCTCCCTGTTTTGTTTTGCAACAACTGGTGTTCATATGTACTGCTTCTGATAATGGAGGGTAGCGTATGACTCTCAGTAACCATTGATAGAATCATAGAATAGTTGGAAGAGGCCAAAAGGCCATCGAGTCCAACCCCCTGCTTTTGCAGGACACTAAGTTACACCGTCCCGCACAGATAATTGTCCAGACACTTTTTTAATGTCTCCAGCAAGAGAGAGCCCACAACTTCCCCTGGTAATTGGTTCCATTGTTGTACTGCTCTGACAATGAGGAAATTCTCCCTGGTGTCTAGTCTAAAACCAATTTCTTTTAAGTCCTTTATTCTATGTCCTGAACTCTGGAATGGATGATAAAAGATCTTGTCCTTCCTCTTCGTGACAGCCTTTCAGGTACTTCCTAATAGGGCTTTGCCTCCAATCCCTGAATCATCCTTGTTGCCCACCTCTATCCTTTCTAGCTTTTCTGCAACTTTTTAAAACTAAGGTTCCCAGAACTGGACACAGTACTCTGGTGACTAGTGCTAAGTATAGTGAAATTAGTACTTCACGTGTTTTGGAAGTGATAGTTCTGTTAATGCAGCCCATCCCCTGGAAAGCCCCTTTACCCTTTCTGCACAGTTGCTCTTGTGACCTCAGAGAAGCAGCTGGTACAGTTCTTTCTGTGCTCACTGTGAGTTGTGCGGAGGGGGGGATTTCCTTGCTATCAGAAATGCAACAGCTAGGTATCCAAGATAAAGCCTTCTACTGGTGTAGCCTAAGATATAGAACAGCCCTTCAACTGGAGGGGTCTACTCTGCCCCTTCATTGCTTATTTTTAGACAGAAGGCAAATTTTGTTTTATTTCAGTAATATTTTTGATCTTTATTTATTCACTTTTACCCTTCAATTATTTTATACTGCTACTGTCTTTTTAATCTTTTAACCTTTTTAAAAAAAAGTGCTGTTTTTATTGTTTTTTAATCATTGTATACTTTTTTGTAAGCTGCATGAATATTTTTTGGAAATATAATATGTAAATGTTAAAATGTCATAACTGAGATGTAAGTTTTCATTGTAAGTTCTGCTGTGCTACTGTTAGCAGTTATTTCTTTGCTGTTTCATTATAACAGTTTATGTTTTAACCTATAAGTTATTTAGTTTCAATGTCTAAATTATAGTTTTAACAAATTAATAACTTAATTATTATTTCATCAGAAATTTACCTAATCTTACTGTGTGTGTTATATTAATATAGGTTGGAAATGTATCTTTAACAGATCAATTCTATCAGAACTCCTAATGGAGCTGGTTGTAAACTTTAATATTCCGGGAAGGGTACAAGTATCGCTCTTTTGCAGCCACTTAAAGCAGGCTGTGTTGGATTACAACTCCCACAATCCTTCAGCCAGCATAGTCCTAAAGGAACACCTTCTGTATTTAACTGTCTGTGTACCTCCTAGATATCCCTCCTGTTAAAACTGATCAGCTCATACCGAATGCTATATGAATCCTACCGATAAATAAATCTCTGGTATCACTCCCTAACTCCAGGAGAAAAATAATATTTTTATAGATTGCCTGTGGGTTTTTAATGCAAGTATTAGTGAAAATAGAACTGAGCCACTTCTAAAGTACTTCTCTTCATGTTCATATCATGCAGACAGTCTATTTGTTAAAATTTTATCTTCACTCTATTACATGAATGTCTGTCCTAACAGGTTCATAGAAGTTTTCTAACAAGTACCATAAAACCTACTCCAGTATAGAATAAAAACTATAAAAGTAACGTTTACTGCTGTTGTGTAATAGGTTACAAATGGTGTGGATTTTTATCATGAACCGGATGAACCCTCAGAGCACTTCTTCCAGTCAGCGTAGGCGAATGGCTCTTGGAATTGTTATTCTTCTTCTGGTTGATGTGATATGGGTCGCGTCTTCTGAACTCACTTCAGTAAGTTGTAATTCAGTCATATGTGATTTGAAAGGGTTCTGACTTTAATGTAGGAGTACCACACACTAACAAAGGCCAATTGATGCTCACTGTCTGAACATATGTAGTATCATTAGTAATTGCTTGCTTAGAAGTAAGTGGGTTGCCATCTGCTGAACAGTTTTTTTGTATTGACTTCCTATACTTCTGATCCAGCTTGCGACATTTCACAGAATTTATGATGTTTTGAATTATAATTAAATTCAATTAATCTTACCTATTCTATTTCATAATACCAATGCTCGAAAAGATAGCTTTAAAAACTGCAAAATATAGCAAAATGCAGTTTTTCACTGATTAGCTGGACCTAGTTTTTTTTATGACAGACAAACTAAATTAAAGGGACAGACTAAATGAAAGAAACAGACTATAGCTTCCATAGATTCTGCAGTAAGATGGGGGATTCCCAGAGCAATATGAGCATGGATGAAAATTTGTGGATAGCTGATAAGGACAAGGACATTGGTAGGTCCTTTTAGACTGCAAAATAGTTGGGTTTGAGGCAGTCATTTTCTATACAGGTTAACCCAGAACAACTTGCAAGGCTAATTATCTGAAGATGGGATTTGGAAAGTTTCTGAAGTAATGACTCTGACTATCTGACTAGGATAACTATGCTTATTCTATCTCTAATCTTTTATGAAGAATGTGACTCCATACTTAATCAGCATAGGTGGACACTGATTAATATTATGCTCATGCTTTCTTTCTTACTGTGGAACTAGTTCTAGGTGGGGCTTGTAGCTAGCAATTTATGAATTTTGTTTCTTATTTTGTCAGGTGTCTTTCATTCTGTCATCCACTCATTAATGGAATTGAACTTTTTGAGGGTGTTTGAGAGCTTCATTCCATTTGTGCTAATGTGATGTACATGTGTGTTGACACAAATCCATCCCCAGCCCCAGTAAAACAGTGTGAAAATTTCTGTCAGTGCAGCTCAAACAATGGTGGCCCACTGCAGAATCCTCCAGTCAAATTTATTTGAATCCTTTGAGGATTTTTTCCAACAATTTTACCTGTACTAACTCTCAGGGTTACTATGAACATTTTGTTTGTTTGTTTGTTATTACTGTGGATAGGAAAATGCCACAGGCTTAGGATGCATATACTGTTAAGGTCAAACTAGTTGGATATGAGTACACAATGCATAAACTAGTATAAATTTCAAGAAATTTACACAGCACATTCTTTAACTTGTATGTATCATCCCATACTTCCTCTGCAAAGACAGAGTATGAGGGAGTATCACATTTTTGTATTTGCAGTCGGTGATCTGTGTCAGAACATTTTCCAGAACTGTTGATGTATGGTGGAATGTTTTCTGGTGCTTTATTTTTCTGTGGAAAATTTTCCATTAGGAACAGCAAATGAATGCCAATTAATCATAAAGTACTAGGCAGACTTCCAGTTTCAAGTTCTAATTAACATTTTTCAGGTGATTATTCCTGCTTGCAAGTATGCAAGAGAATGTATATATTTTACTGAAATACATACAAGTCCTATTTTGGAAATAATTGGTGGTAGCAGTGAAACTATATGAACTCAGCAATCTCCATGGAAGAGAAGAGAATTTGCTGAAGCAGATGGGTGTTTGTTAGCATACCATGTGCCATTCTTTTGATTGCTAATATGTACAAGAGTGTCAACCGTTCTTGGTATCTTCTTTTAACAATGTAAGGGGAGTATATGCTATTGTCTTTAATGTTTTCTTGAGTATTCCAGTAAAACTACTTTTATAATATTTAAATCACATTGCCTGAGTTTTCACGATACAATAACCTGTCCTGGCAATAAACCAAAATGGGTTGTTTTCTGATGTATCCCATGATGAGCCTGGCAGACGATTTAGTTCAGTATTGGTGTTTTGCTCCCTCCCTCCTCTCATTTTTCCAGGAAGTAGCTCCTTGAATCTAGGTCCGAGCAGAATAACTTGCCAGAATTGCCAGCAGCTTCAGAAGAGAACACCATAGTGCCACATTCTGGAACATTTCTTACTTCTTCTCTTAGTTGTCTTTGCTTTTGGGCTGTAGGTGATACAGTGTCAGAAAGTTAGGAAAGCTATGCTTGCTTTCTCTTTTCTCACATGTAAATATACTTGTTCCTGGTTTCAGTCAGAGCTCTGTTTTGTATGTTTATGATTGCTTATTAATTGACTGTGATATTCAAATGTTTGAGTGGTATCAAGAGCTGAATAGTAAAGCTAACAGGTAATAACTTTTCTGTTTCTTTCTCCCTTTGCAGTATGTTTTTGC